AATATTCATTTTTTAATTATTCTTGCAGTTCAATGCAAAAGGAAGAAAAATTAAATGCACAATGCAAAAAATAAAAGTTTATAGACATACAAAGGAAGAAAAACCATTGCAAAATAATATAACCATAAGAATTAATCTGGAAACACATACAAACTTCCATTACAAAAACTTCCATTACAAATCTTTTAATCCACCATTCAAATAACATCATTTTCATTTGTTAACCCAAACCTTATAGACACATAAAATCAAGATAACAAGCAAAAAAAATCCTCTCATTTCTCCTTTACCTTTCGACTTTTCTTAATTTCTTCAGCAACCCTAAGCAAACAATTCTTGCCCGAGGCACCATGGGAGGATCCCTCCAAACAAAAAAATGACATTTTGTACTCATCTTTTTCTCATAGTTTCAGCAACCAAAAAACCTCCTCCCACAATTTTCATTCGTCCAAGCCGTCACCACCTTAGCTAGTTGTCCACATTTACAAAGAGGAACTTCAATGGAGTCTTCCATCTTCACCTTAGTTAGCTTTTATCTTGGGAAGGATTTGAGAAAAAATTCAACAAAGAAGAATATGAAGGAAAAATATAGATTAGGGTTAGGGATTGGGTTTTATTTAAAGGGGGAAAAGAAAATGAACGTTAGAGTACTGCTCTCTTCCACCATGGCATTCCAGGTAAACATCTAATGTTCCAATTTTGTTTTCCGTGACGGCTCTTAACGACTGTTAACGACCAATGACCATTTTGTGACAAACGATAACGTTAGTAACCAATTTGTAACTTTTTAAACATTAGTGGTGAAAATGAAAACTTACCCAAACATCAGTGACCATTGGCGTAGTATACCCTTTAATTTAATAAATTTATTTCTCCATTCAAATTGTGATACATGTCACAATCTTATGATTATAATTTGAATATCAACTACAATATATAATATATATTTTTATCTTTAATTATAATATAATATTTATTATAATTTGAATATTAATTTTTTTAATGATTTCATATATATAATCATTAAAAAATGAAAAACAGTAAATTTAGTTTAAAAATATTAAAATCTTAAATCAATTATAAATAAACAATTAGATTTATTTTAATGATTTAAATGTTATCATATTCTCAATTAACTTAATAATATGAAACAATAATTATATCATATTATTTATTAACTATATTATGTCAATTATATCTCCCTAACATCACAATAATTTCATAATTAATAAAAATTATTTTACTTCACCACAAACACTCCTCAGCATAAGTCGCGAACTCATGTATATCAAAGTACACATAGATGAGGAAGAAGATGATTGTGAAAGTATGTTTGACTTCATACTTTATTCGCTTGACAAATGACATAATTTTTTCACATTTAGTTCCTTATCTTTTGTACATTTTACATTTTAGTCACTCTCTTTACTCCTTAAAAGTCCTACTAGGGGTGTTCAAAATCGGGTACCCATGTTTTCGAGTATCCGAAATACCAGGTACAAATTTTTGAGTATCAAAATTTCGTTCCATGTCTCGACCCATTACATCTGGGTACCCGTAAAACACGAGTACCCGATTTATAATTTTTATTTTTTTAGAATTATATTATTTTTTAAAAATATTTAGAAAAAATCTAAAATTTAAAATTTAAAGGTTTATAATATATAATTCTATAATAAAGTTTAAAAGAATCAAATTCCATAATTGAAAAAATTATTAAAAATTAAAACAAAAATTATAATTAAATTTCAAATGTTGCGTATTTTAAAATATAATTTAGATTGTTAATGTGAAATAATTTAAGAAATTAATAATTTATAATGTTATGGTGGTAAAATTTAAGAAATTAGACATTTAGAATGTTAGAGTAAAATAATATGAGAATTATAATAAAAATTTAATATAAAATAAAAATTATATATTTATATATATATATATATATATATAATAAATCGGATACCGGGTATGTGGGTACACAGTTGAACAACATTTTGTTATATTAAATTGAAATTAGGACCTAATTAAAAATTAAGAATTAAAGTTAATCTTGGTGATCAAATTTATTAATTCTAAAATCTAGGGAATTTAATATGCAAATTTAATACATGACTAGAATAAAAGATTTTAAAGTTAATGCTCAAATTAAGGCATTAGACAAATTAAAAAAAATCAGGATCAAATTGGATTAAATGAAAATCCAAGGAAACAAATCATATAGAAGTAGTGACCAAAATGGAAAAAAATAAAATAGGATGCCGATGTATTGAGCGACGATGTATTTTTTTTCTGACGTAAGGTGTGTTATGGGAAATGGCTCCAAAATTGATTCCTGGTCCAACCATTGGACCAAAGTGCATTCTTTAAAATTAGTTTTCCCTAGAATCTATGGGATTGCTATAAAAAAACAAGGCATGATAAGTGAGTTTGGGAGTTGGGTTAACGATGTTTGGGTATGACAAATTGGATTGAGGTGTGGTTTGTTTGAATGGGAGTTGGCGATTTGGAATCATTTTAATCTAGTTCTGAATACAGGAGTTGGTGCATGTCTAGGGTTAGATAGATTGAGATGGTTAGGTGCTTCAGATTGCAAATATAACTCTAGAGATTTCTGCATCAAGTTGGCTTTGAATGGCAAGACAGAGGATCCGATTTGGAAAAAGGTCTGGAACAAATTCGTACCTCCAAAAGTGGATGCGTTCGTATGGAAAGCGGTTTATAATAGGCTGCCTGTTGCATCCGAATTGGTGAGGAGAGGGGTTAACGGCAATGTCCAAATTTTATACTGGTTTTGTAAAGAGCATTTGGAAGATGTTATTCACGTGTTATGCCATTGTAAAGTTGCTTGGCTAGTATGGCAATGATGGTGTAACTTATGGAAAGTTAGGATTATTTTCCCTATGAATGTTAAACATCTATTAGATATATGGTCTTCACAGTATGTAAGAAGAAAAACAAGGAAGTTATGGCAACTTGGTTTTTTTGGTTTAATTTGGCAGATTTGGTTGTGCAGAAATAAGATCAGATTCAACGATTTATCATTCACAGTGGACCAAATTTATAATATGGTTTTATTGTAGATCGGGGTTTGGGCGAATATCTTATGGCCATCATTGGTTCCACATGTTCAAGATTTCGTGCGCTGCCTAGATTCCCTTATTTTTTGCATGATTATTGGTGAGTATATTGTCCTTGCGCTGTTGTATCTAGTACTCATAAATAGGATTATGCTCTATGGTTAAATTTCTCTATGGTTGGAGCATGGTTTGTTCTTTTGTTTGGTTGTGCGTTGTTCTTTATGTAATCACTTCAGGGCTAGTCTATAGCTATTATGTTAGTAAGTTATGTGTTGTTCTTGTGGATTAGGTTCGTAGTTGTTCTGATGTAATTGGGACTATAGTCTTTTACTATTTTTCATTTCTAGGTATACTCTTTTTCCTCCACATAGGTTTAGGGAGGTTTTTTAATGAGGTCATTGGAGTGGTGTACTTTATGACAATTTTAATACAAAGTACCCTCTTTCAAAAATAAAAAAACAAAATAGGGTGCCAGCGTCACAAATACGTAACTTTACAAGGATTTGCGCTCTAATTATTCCAATTTTTTAATTGCCACATAGACACATCCGTTAAATGCTAACGTTGTGTGGCCATTTTGAACCCATTTAAATAGTTCAATGGTATATTTATCACAATTTTGAAAATGATGGCTATTTCGCGACCTGACCCATAGTTATGTGGTTATTTATGTAGTTTACCCTATATTATATATATATAACCTTGCTTCATAGCCGTTTCACGTTTGAGGTGACATATAAATGTTTTCGATTTAGATTTAGATTTAGATTAAAGTTTTAAATTAATTTAATGAAATATTAAAATTTTAAATAAGGTCAAATTTAAATAATATATTATGAACAAATTAAAAAAATAATCAATTATTCTCAAAATAAATTTTTATAATATTTATAAAAAATAATACTCCAAAATTTTAGATATATATATAAAGATTATGATCAAATGGAGATGCGGAAAAAGATTTCCATGCTCCACTAGCTTGTTTATTTTGAATTATGTATAATTTGGTGCATCGGGTTTTCTAATATTCTTGTATCCAACGTGAAATTAGTTAATTTTATAATAAAATATAGTTTATATTTTAATGGGTGGTTAATTTAAATTAATAATGATTCACGGTTATTAAATTAGTATCACATCAAATTTGTTGCTGATAATTTATTTAATTATGAAAAGGTTATTGGGATTATTCAATTGTTTTTGGTAACTAATCTATTTATATAAATTACTTTATAGAAACAGATATACAGAAAAAGACTCGTATATTTACTTTCATACAAAGAGTCATAAATTCAGAAGCATATTAGCAAATTATATCCATCTTTAACGAGTGTCATAAAAATATATTATTTTAGTATAAATATGGGGTTTAATATTGAAAAGGGAATATTATTTTTATTTGAGATATTAGGATCAAACAATTATATTTATAAGATGTGTTGTAATTAGTATTTTTTATTATTAAATATTATAATGAAATTATCAAAACCATAATATAGAAATCTTGAAAATATTTTTATCTTAGGATTTCAAATGAAAATTATTACTTTATAAAAGAAATATGTAAATGAACATTTGACCCAACTTATATTTCAATTTCTCAACCATTTTTGTCAGCAATAAATTTAATTAATAAAGGAAAAAATAAAATTTATAAAGGGCAGAAGAGTAAATAAGTAAACTACTGCTTATAAAATCGGGAAAACGAAAAAGAGAGAGAGGCGGGAGGAACAGACAGATGTACACTATAAACGGACTCGCTGGACGCTACTTTCTACAAACGCACTAAAGTGACTAAACGCTGGCAGCCCCTTAATACTATCTTCTCTCCTGAAACTTAAAAATAATAAAAAAAATTAGAAAGTATTTTTCTTTATATTATCCCTTCATTTCTCTTGATTTTTGGAAATTCCAAACGAAATTTCAAAAAGCAAGGAGAGGGATAGAGAGGGATAGAGAGGGAGGGAAAATTCGTAGTAGAGCGCAATCCGTAGAAGTACCGAGAAGTATTTGCAGATCCTAAATAACGCAATAGTTTTCTCGAGAAAATTTTCCTTCATTGATTCGCCATTTTGTTTTTCGCTCGAAGGTACGGACGTGGAAGCTTTGGTTTTTTTTCTCTCTTAACATTTTCTTCTCATTTTGTATTTGATCTACTTTTTTTAGTGGAAATGTTGCTGCTCTTTTTGGATGTCTATCTTGTTTTTATGTATAGGTGTTGAGGAATGGCAGCGGTCGTGAGAGATCTAAGATTTTCTGGTTTCCATTTCTGTGTTATGTGTTGTTAAATTTAATTTTCTCACGAAACGGAGTTGGGAAATGTAAAAGATCTTCGATAGAATGTTCAGCTGTACATAGGAAAGCTGAAACGTGTTCGTTATTTGTTTGCTATTTTTCTATCTCATTCTTTTCTATTTTTGAAACTTTAATAGCTTAGATCTGCTTCGTTTTCCCCCTCGTTCCGCTTCCTTTTGACGTCATATCTTCGTCGCTAATTAGGAGTTGTGTCATATTTATAGTGACTTTCTATGTTAAATTACCGTGTTTTTCTAAAAGAAGATTGAGACATCATAGTTTCTTTCGAGCCTCTGTTAAATCCTTCCTTTCTAACAGCTTTCCGGAAATGAAGAATTCTTTTGATTCTTTTTAATTTTTTTCTCTGTTTTCGGTTCAACTATGGAGAAATCTAAATTGTATGCTGCATGCTATTTTTGTTGTTGAAATATTAGATATGTAACGTTCATAGCCAAAATTTGAGGATTTTGTGATTATCTGAGTTTGTTAACTCGTTTGTTGGAAATATTCTGATTCATTATCATTTATTGAAACAGTTGGAGCATGCATCAGCTGCCTTTCTAAAAAGCTCGATTCCAAAAGAGGGAAATATAATTGATAATAGTTAATTTTGATTTTCAAAATCATGGTTGCTACTGCTGCTACATCCTCGTTTTTTCCCATAACTTCTTCCCCGGACTCCTCTGACTCGAAAAACAAGAAGCTTGGAAGTGGATCTACTAACCTTGGTGGTATCATGTCGAATCAATATGCTTCTTCTGGAAGTTTGCAAGTCAAGGCAAATGCTCAAGCCACTCCTAAGATAAATGGTACCTCGGTGGTGACTTCTCTGGTTGAAAGTTTCAAGAATGAAGACGGTACAAGCTCCCCTCCAGCCCGTACATTTATCAATCAGTTACCTGATTGGAGCATGCTTCTTGCTGCTATCACAACCATGTTCCTGGCTGCTGAGAAACAGTGGATGATGCTTGATTGGAAACCAAAGCGGCCTGACATGCTCATTGATCCTTTTGGTATTGGGAGGATTGTTCAGGATGGCCTTGTTTTCCGACAAAACTTTGCAATTAGGTCTTATGAGATAGGCGCTGATCGTACAGCATCCATAGAGACTCTAATGAATCATTTGCAGGTTCACCAACAGTTAATTCGATACAGTGTTTGAATAAGTTATTTTAGGAACTAGAATTTGTAATTACTTGCTTTTCCTGTGGTTATGTTGTATAAGATTTTTTTTAAAAATTAATATACCTGCAGGAAACTGCAATTAATCATTGTAAAACTGCTGGGCTGCTTGGAGAAGGTTTTGGTGCAACCCCTAAGATGTGTAAGAAGAACTTAATATGGGTGGTCACTCGGATGCAGGTTGTGTTCAAACGTTATCCTACTTGGTAAGACATATTTCCTTGCCTATGGTTTGCACTTATAGCAACAATTCATGATATGACCACTTATATTGTTCTCATGTGGTTATGGTTTTATACAGGTGTCATCATGATGCTTTATTTTTCACTTGGACTTGTGTCTGTTTTGAAGGGGTGATGTTGTTCAAGTAGACACTTGGGTCAGTGCATCGGGAAAGAATGGCATGCGAAGGGATTGGCTTGTCAGTGATAGTAAAACTGGTGAAATTTTAACAAGAGCCACGAGGTAGAGCATTCCGTTGTATTCTTCCGTGATATAGTCTGTGCCACTTGTTCATATCACATTATCGATTTGTCATTCAGGAAAGACTTACCTGGGGTTCCCTTTGATTTGATTATGGGTTTTGGTGGTATGCAGTGTGTGGGTGATGATGAATAAGGTGACTCGAAGGCTATCTAAAATTCCAGAAGAGGTCAGAGGAGAAATAGAACCCTTTTTTATGAACTCTGATCCTGTTGTGGCTGAAGATAGCCGGAAATTAGTGAAACTTGATGAGAGCAAGACTGAATATGTGCGCAAAGGTTTAACTGTAAGTCCTTGATACCCTTCTGTTGGCACTCATAAATGTCTCATCACTCGTTGCATTCTTACACAGTTTATTTTTGATTTGCAGCCTAGATGGAGTGACTTGGATGTCAACCAGCACGTCAATAACGTGAAGTACATTGGCTGGATCTTCGAGGTAGACTCAATCTAGTGAACATTACACCGATTTTTGCTTTTCGATACCATGGGTTTCAACCGCAATGTAATATTACCGGTTGCAGAGTGCTCCATTGACGGTGTTGGAGAGTCACGAGCTTTCTTCCATGACACTGGAGTATAGGAGGGAGTGCGGGAGGGACAGCGTGCTACAGTCACTAACAACTGTGTCGGACTCCAGTGCGGGGGACTTGGTGAAAGTGGGTGAAATAGAGTGCCAGCACTTGCTCCGGCTCGAGGAAGGGTCGGAGATTGTGAGAGGGAGGACTCAGTGGAGGCCCAAGTATGCCAAAAGTTTTCGCGGTGTGGGTCAAATTCCAGCAGAAAACGCATAGAAAAATCACAAAGTTCTCAATCTGCGGCTGGAGGAGGGGCATTAATCCTATTGCTGTGTGTTACAATGATTAATGTAGAATCTAATCTTGTGTTCTATGGATCTCTCTCTCTCTATATATATATCTATATATATATATATATATATATATATTCCTTTGATTCGTCCTGAGAAATAATAATAAAAGGAGGGTTGTTATCTTCACTGTAATTAGTTTTTGCCTTAATCCTTGATCTCCCACTCTTTCATGCGTTGTCGGCCAACTGTCGACTGATCGGCCGGCTTGCTCCCGTGTACATGGTGTTCGAGGTTCAAAGAACTGACAGCCATGTGGAAGAATGGAGTAACTCTTGTATTGGCTACTAATACTATGGTATAATTTGTAGCCATCTGCATAATTTAGGAATTTCATTGTTTAATGAATATCTCACTTTTCATCTCGATTCTCAAACATCAACGCTACCAAATCAACCAGAGCTCCGTCGGCTATGAACGTCAATCTCTGAATATTAATTTCTTGGGCAAAAACTTATAAGGCCTGAACTAACCAAATAAGAATAATAATTACTTGATGGGATTATAAATAACGTGACGATGAAAAGGGTTGAGAAAGTAATTTCTCTTAAATTAAATAGTTTAAATTGGTTATAAAAGAATTTCTCTTAAATTAAATAGTTTAAATTGATTAAATCATGATGTTTTAAAAGATGATTAGTTAAGTCGGTTAATTGAGTCTCCAGACTAAACTGACATTCGATATCGAGATGATTAAATTGGTTTGTTTGATTTCGTTGTTTTCATGTTATATCAAAGAATTACTCTTCCCTAATTAGTAGGTTGAGATTGAAAACATCGTTAATTGATGTTAAAACGGTGCTGTGAGATTCATTTTAAATAAGCTTTAGTATTCATTCAGTCTACAAATTTATTATTGGAAAAACGTAATTGATTTGTTTCTTAAATCTCCATGATTAGGTATCTGGATACCGAATAACATTGAAATAAATTTCGCCATCATGAATGTAACAAAGTTATGTTATAATTTCTAAATTTTAGCATAGTTGAAGGATTAAGGTAGACAGATTAAATACTAAACTTTGGTTACATAGAAGAGGGGCTAAAAGTGTAATCAACCCCTTGCTTTAATACCTACGCATTTTACCAACATAAAAGAAAAAGGAAGAAGGAAAAAACGATTCCCGGCCTCGTCTTTTTCAACCAAGTTTCTCTAGCCTCGAGACACTTTCAGTTTCCCCTTTACTTTAAGGATTCTCACCCGCATTCGTTTTCGGTTCTGTCCTAATCGTGCCGCCGACAAATTTCAGCAAAAATAGTCGTGTTATGTTTTTCAACTGTAAATCCAGAAAATGGTGCTGAATTATGTGTCTGTTACTTTAGTTTCAGTTCCGATACTTTGTTGTGGAGTAAACCAGAAGGCGTTCAAGACAAGCAAGCTCCCCGTAAAAAGTCGAGGGGGCTCTCCACCGGCCACATTATTGCCATTGTGGTGGGGTCTGTAATGGTGGGGCTATTGTTGGCTCTGTGCCTCATTCTTTGCCTCTGCAAACAGAAACGTAGGCCGGAAAAGCAGCAGAAACGTAGGCGGGGACCGCGTCTTCACATAAGTTGGTGTTTTTGGAAAGTGGAGTTTATGGTTTCGAATTGGAGGAGTTGTTGAATGCTTCAGTCGAAGTGTTGGAGAAAGGCAGCGTAGGGACATCGTACAAGGCGATGTTGGAGGGAGGGCCAACGGTGGTCGTTAAAATGTTGAAAGACGTGGTGGTTATGAAAAGAGAGTTTGAAATACAGATGGAAATTTTGGGTAGAGTTATTAAACATGAAGATTAGTTCCGTTGAGGGCGTATTATTACTCGAGGGAAAATAAATTGCTGGTTTACGATTTCATGGCCGGTGGTAGCTTGTCTGCTCGTCTTCACGGTTAGTTTCTCTGTTTACTTGCATTCATTATATTCAAAACCAAGTAGGTACAAGCATTCCACGTTATGTTTAAAATGAAAGTAAGAGTGGGCCTACCCTTACAAATTCTGTCATGCCAAACGGTTCCATCCTCTAAGCTCCTTCCAAAGCATATTTTCGAATTAAATATTCTAATATCATGCGCAGCAACAAAACGAAACGAAACAATATTCTGTCAACAATTTGCACCGCATACAACTTATTAGTTTGTGATTTTAGTATTGCAGGTAGCAGACGTACTCCTTTGGAGTGGGACAATCGGTTGAAAATAGCGGCCATGTTTCCAGCTTTGTCAACGGCAACATCAAGTCCTCCAATGTCCTTTTTGGACCGGACCAAGAAGCCTGTACCTCTAACTAGGGTGTAAACGAGCCAAGTATTGCTGAATTTAACTTGACTTGAAAATTCTAAAATGTAGCTCGACTCTAAAACTCGAGAGTTTAAAATTTTCAAGCTCGACTCGAACTCAAAATCATGAATTGAAGCTTGTAAAAACTCAAAAAGACTCGAAATAAAAAAAAAAGTTCTTAAACTTAACTCGATTGAAGCCTCAATCTCAAACTCGAATTTGAACCTTAAATACATGAAACCTTACTGAATTTTTTAAATCAAAACATAAATGTTAATATTATTAAAAATTTATTTTATTTAAAAAATCTTAATATATTATATTTTCGAGCTACTCACGAGTTTTTCGAGTCGAGTAGCAAGTAGCTCGTTTCGGCTCGTTAAGAACTCGAATCGAGTCCATTCGATTTAAGTATTTATCAAGCCTTGACTGAATCGATCTTGAGTAGCTCGCGATTTATCTTGTCTCATTTACAACCCTATCTCAAACTACGGTCTCATCCCTCTTTGCCGACCCCGCTCTCCCTAGTAGTCTTAGAGGCTACCTAGCACCTGAAGTGCTTGAATTCCGCAGAGTTACGTTCAAGTCCGATGTTTATAGCTTTGGAGTGTTGTTACTAGAGTTATTAACAGGTAAATCACCTCACCACGCATCACTAGGGGCAGCGGGGATTAATCTTCCTCGTTGGGTTCAGGCCACAGTTCGTGAGGAATGGACCGCGGAGGTTTTCGACGCGGAGTTGATGAGATATCCCAACATTGAGGAGGAAATGGTGCAGCTGTTACAAATTGATATGCGTAGTGTATCGACGCTGTCATAACGTCTCACTCGGGGATCTGTTAGACTTAAAAAATTAGATTCGGGGAAAGCGATGAAATATAATTTTGAAGATAATTTGACTTTGGAGTCGCCACCAACCTTTAAGTTAGGTAAGTCAGAAACCTTAAACGACAAAAAAATAGTTTGTGTTTTACCAAAAATTCATTTTTAAGAGTTTGGGAGTCGATTACGTGTGGGGAAAGGTGAGCACCCCCACAATGCCTAAATTTTGATACCTAAACGATTATACGATATTTAAATATTAGGAATTTCAAACTCGAAAACATATTTAAATTACAATTCTTTTATTTATTTGACTTTATTCGAAAAATATCCATTTTAAAAAACACCTAAAACAATAAATGCAGTGAGTCAAAAAGATTAAAGAACCCAAAATACATTCTTATAGAATAAAACTATTTATTTAATCAAAAAAAGAAATTATAAATATTTCTATAAAAGAAAAATACATCATTTTATACGAATAATCATTGAAAATGCTATTCCTTTATAGTTAGGAAATTTTTTCATGGATTCCTCTCACAAAATAGTGCTTCTTTAATTTTATAGTTTAAAAAATAATATTATATTAACTTATAGAAATGTTCGGATAAAGAATGTCCTTTTGTGTGAACAATCTTTGGGAATACATTTCCTTTGTAGTTAGGGGATTTTCCCATAGATTCCCATCACAAAAAGACATTATTTCACATTTTTACAAAATAAAATGAACTAAAATAAAACAAAATAAAAATAGGTGAAAAATAATAAAAAATAAATAAACGTAAAGTAAAGAAAACCATTGAATAAAAAACATTTATGCGAAAAATCCTCTAAAAGATACATTCCTTTGTAGTTGTGAGATATTTCCCTCACAATGAAATTTTCTCATTTTCATATATTAAAAAGAAAATGATATGTGCACATAAATAAGGAACCAACATGCAAGATTTCTAAACCAACTATTTAGATTAAAAATATCATACAAGTTAGAGGGTAAATAAATAAGACTGAAACATAATCATTAAAAATTATAGGCACAAAAAATAAATATACCACCAACTACCTCAGTGACTAAAATAAAATAACAGAAAGCCAAGTGCCAAAATCAAAAGAATAAATGAAACAAGAAATATAACATATCATTGACTAAATTGAAAGTAATAAAAATAAAGTGATACACATAAAATAAATAAAAATAAGGATTTAGGGACTGAACTGTAAAACACGACAAGATCTAAGCGACCTAAGGGAGATTTCCCCACGAACGTTCGACCAAAATATTACATCTACTAAAGACAAGGACCACACAATAATTTACCCATAAAATAATTACAAGAATACAAAGATATTCCTAAAGTTAGGGAACCTAGGGGTGATTATACCATGATTTGGTGACCTAAATGTAAAAACACGCTAAAGGTCTGGGGACCTTAGCGTGATTTACCCAAAATCACAAAATAAAAATATTTCAATCTCTCCCAATCTCCATTTTGCCCGAAACTCTCCAAATCCATAGCCTCCATTCAACTCACCCCTTTCTCTTTGTTTACTACTCCCACGGTGGTCGAATATCCGATGAACCACCCACGTCGCCTCGGGCACCCTATATGGGTGGCCATTCTACTCCGACTGGGACCTACAAGGCATGGGAACACCAAGAAGATAGCCCCTAATCATAACTCACTCCACCTCCCCTCGATTCAGAACCAAACAACGAATCGACCACCATACGCGGTGGCTCTCCGACCCCAAATAAACACCCATTATGTCACCCTCTCTCCGACGACATCATTACCCCGACGAACACCACAACAAGGTAATCTAACTCCCTATCTCCATTTAATTCTTTAGAACCCGTGGAATTTACATAAACTAAGAAGAAAATTATAAACTAAAATTCTATTCTTTGTTGCATTCCAAGAATTGAACAAATAAATTAAGAAAACTAGAACACCATAGGATTTTCGGTTTTGTTTTAATTGCTGATTTTTTTTTCTGATTATTGATAAAAATTGTCCTTACATTGTTTTTCATTC